AGGAGAGGGCGGTAGCTGTTCTGGGGAATAGGAAATGGTTTGAAAAGGCGGGAAGGGATATCGTTAGGATAGACAGATTAGGGAAGACATTTTTGAGCCACCTTTGGCAAAGTAGGAAGGAACGATTGGCCATCGGTGATCGGTCCTGGGGGAACAATGCTCCGTCCTCTCGAGGACGCGTGGTCAATGGTTTAACCGTTAAAACATGCAAAACATCAGAGTACGCCCCCCCCCCCCCCCCAATTCATTTCGTGAACTCGGCAACCAGGTTACCGTTTTTTTTTCACCTCTGTTTTTTTTTTTGCGGTAACCATAATGGTGGTCTAGTAGATCATGTTGTGCGGGGTCGAGAACCCTCACTCCGCGCAAGGGGAATGATCGCACCACGTTGTGTTAAAATAGTCAAGTATCCTCGAGGCAGTTACGCAGTGCTTCTAACTGTCTCTGGAAGTGAAAGCACCAGAAAATAAATTAAGTCATACGCAGCTGTCATCCGTACGCAAGGAAGTAAGCACAAGATGCCGAACACCCTTAGCAGGATGAAGCGCACCCTTCATGCGACTCGCCGAATACCTCACGGCTCTTTGCGCTTGGTGATGTGAGAGCCTGGTCCGGTGAGAACCCGGCGTGCTCCTTCCCGGCTTTGCAGGGATGCGAGGTCAATGGTCTAACGACTACGGCATGCACAGCTCTGAGTACACCCCCCCCCCACCCCCCCCACCCGTGTATGTGTGTGTGTGTGTGTGTGTGTGTTCCTCTTAGGCGGGTGTGTCGGGGGAGAGGGGAGAGGCGTGGGCGGCGGCGCAGGTGACCATCCTCCTTTTCGTTCTCCTGGGCAACCTTCCCCTCCTCGGCGGTTCGTTGGAGATACTCGCGGGACCCGGGTTGCTTCTCGGCGGTGCCGGGCTGACTACTGTTAGTGAGTGCTGTACATACCATGTTGTTGTTGTTGTTGTTGTTTTTATTGTCATTACATTAATAACCGTTCCGATCTCTCTACCCATTGCTTCCATCTGCCCGTACTAGTCAAACACTTGACGCGGTCGATTCCCGTGGTCACAGGCTAACTTACCCAAAAAACGTGCAATAAAATAAGATGGACCCGAAGGCTCCGCAAGTCAATAGAAATCAACGACAGGTAGCGTAGAACCCTCCGCTCGCCTCTGGTACACGCTATGTGAGGTATACATAGACTGGAAGAAAAAGAAAAAGACGTAACAAGAACCTGGTGGCTCTGTGAAGAGACTTATCAAAAGGTCGCCTTGTACGTACGTAAGCTGGTGACTCTGTGAAGAGATTATCAAACGGTCGCCTTGTACGTACGTAAGCTGGTGACTCTGTGAAGAGACTATCAAAAGGTCGCT